CTCCAATTCTCTATCTGCTCTTTCCTGTTGTTCTTTTAATTGCATCTTCATCATCATAATCATAGCTTCTTGTTGTTGAGCTGCTTTGCCTCTTTCTTTCTTCAGTAGTTCTTCGTTTCGTTTCTTCTCCGCCATTCTCTCTCGCCTTTCTAACCGATCCATTGTGATTCTCTAGAATTTGGTTCAATTTAAAATACTGTTCTGTAAGCTGGGCCGCCGAGAGGGGAGCAGGGGGGGGGGGGTATTTTGCCCAGTGCCCCCAGCTCAAAAGGGGCCCTAAAATCGACGAAGTCCCTTGATACAAGATTGCTTAACCGAGAATATAAATTCTCATTGCCGGATAATATGCAATAAAGCATAACATAATGTAAAACACCGTTTCTCCCGTTTTACAATTATGACATCATAGGGGTCCTTGGAAAATTTTATGAAAGCCCAGAGAGCCCCATGGGAAAGTTTTCCCCCAGACGCACCGCAAGCTCTTGGTGGCCGTGCTGTAAGCACAAAGCATGTTCTGTTATGGTGGTTAATTAGCAGTAATTATAGGTCTTGCATTTGTGGCAACAAATAAAGGAGAGATACAGTTCAATTAGCCTTTCTCACGAAGGCCAAAATCCGCCATTTTAGGGGTACTTCTGCCCTCGTAAAAGATTCTGGACAATTCAAACAACGTGAAAAGCGACTTTTACAAGTTGTAAGTGTAAATTTACCATTATACAAACAACTACAATACTAAAAAGTTGTATTTCGTGGTGAGAGGCGGTACCCCCAAAATGGCGGGAAAATCGGCCATGAGAAAGGCTAATTTGCTTGCCCTTGGGTGAGCATCAGCACTTCTGATCATCATCGGCTTAGCTGCCCCGTAACGCTTACTGAAACCTGAAGTATAACTTCTGATGTCGCCTTCGCATTGCCCTCGACAGTATGCTTAGCTTCCTACTGCTGTACGTTTACTATCATTGGCGTACAACAATCACAACAGGACCCTTTTAGCCCAGTCAAGTTACCCTATCATGGAATGATGGGATCTTACCTCATTTTCATTGGATATTTGCACAACAGCATCAGCTAACTGCTGCTTGAAACTTCTTCTGATTGTTTTAACACGCTAAAAGAACATTATTGTACACTGTAAATGAAACTCAGGAAGATGACATGTTACGAACAGAGATCGATAGCGACGGAAGCTTCCTTCTATTTGTATGGTAATCTATGATGGATGTTAAAACAAACTGAACAGGAAAATTTTAAAGTACTAACCTCCTCATGCATTTTCTCCAAATCAAGAATCCTGTCATTAACCCGACAATATCTGGAAAGACATTATTGCTGTTACTTAACCCTTGACCTATGCCCTAAACACATTAAACACGATACCAGGGATATTTTCAAGCAGGTGGACTTCAATGATTTGTTTCTTGCACTTCACTTGGTGGAATTAATACTAGAATGTTAGGGTTTGTAATCCAAGTGAGTATATATACATTTTAAGACCTGACCAGGAACGACTGCGAAAAATGCAGCACAAGGTCCTCTGGTAGGAATTGAACCTTACTAATACTTTCAAGCACTTTTCTACTACCGGTAGTAAATACTCAATCTTCAATTGAGTTTTGAAACTCAATCTTCCTCCACAATGATTTTTTTTCACAATTTGATTATTTTTTTAATGTAAATGTTCCATTAAAAACCCGATTTTCTATATAATTTTGTTCAAAAAGCTGTCGAAAACTGTTCCACTTCTGAGACACAAAATCTCGTAGAGGAATACTCATGCCCATGCACACTGGAAATGTGCACCACAAACAGGGCCGCACATTATCTATTTTGAGAAATAGTTCAAAAAGTCGGTCCCAAATGAACCAATTGTCGCTCCCGATCGTCCGGTGCAAACATTACGCAAAATGTTTGTTTCCGTGAGATTTATTTTTTGGGAAGTGTCCAAAAAATAATAAGTAAGGTTACAGAATTGCTAATTGCCATTATACACTGCCTGAATCAACTTCCTTTCTGTGCTCTACAGCCAGCTGATGGCCAAATTAGACTTTGAAAATGCCATTTCCGACGATCTAGAGATTTCAAAGTTTCAAAATTTTTCCGCTCGGCGCCAACCATGGTGGCCCACGTGTAACTCCCACTTCCAAAATGTAAACACGTAAAATTTTACACCCTCCAAAATATTTTACACCCCTCCAAAATATTTTACACCCCTCCAAAATATTTTACACCGCTCCAAAATATTTTACACCCCTCCAAAATATTTTACACCCCTCCAAAATATTTTACACCCCTCCAAAATATTTTACACCCCTCCAAAATATTTTACATCCCTCCAAAATATTTTACACCCGTCCAAAATATTTTACACCCGTCCAAAATATTTTACACCCCTCCAAAATATTTTACACCACTCCAAAATATTTTACACCCCTCCAAAATATTTTACACCCCTTCAAAATATTTTGGAATGTGCGCCCCTGAACACAAATTTTTTTAACGTCAGCCCCCCAAAAGAAACTCGATCTTCTTCTGAAAAACGGTAGTAGACTAAAGTGCTTGAAAATATCCCGGGGGGGGGGGGGCTATGATAATAAACAGTAACCTTGAGGGTGGGCCAGGAAGCAATATTCGGATTTATCAATATATGCAAAATATAGTCCACCCCACACCAATTAATGACTGCTAAAACTTCCGTAAGACGTTTAATTCTTCATTTCTTTTGTGCTATGAAAAAGTGTCCCAGGTGCGAAATGCAGGCTGAATTAACTGGGAATTAGAATAAACTGTATATGTAATAAGGATGTAAAAGCCGAAACCAGACCATTACATGAGACTGGGACAGGTTCAAAGAGCGACGTTTTCGTTTCGGTCACATAGTGTTGTTGTCTCTAGACGTTGTCTGCATCAGGTTAAAAAGACCAGTGTCTAATACAGGGTTCGTAGTCTCCAAGACCAAAAAAATTCAAAGACTTTCAAAGATTTTTTCTGCCTATTTTCAAAGACTTTTCAAAGACCTTTCAGAGCAATCAGCTGTCTAAAAATTGCGAGTGTAAGCCTTCAGGCCTTAAAATATCTTTTCCAGGGCCGTCTGACAAAATGTCCGATGACGTTGAGTTTGGGTCGGACATATGTCCGATGACCTTCAGTTCAGTTTGGCTCGGAAATAAGTCTGAATGACGCAAATTGATATCAGCATAATGCATTCATTCTGAACTAAATGTTGTGAAGATATTAAATAATTTGTGTCATTTATACTTATTTCCAAGCCAAAATTAACTTGCTTGCCAATGATAGCAGTACGACTTCGATAACTTTTAAGTTACCGAAGTTGTAAAAGCCCGTTTTCACGTCACCATTTCACTCACATTTCCAGTTCTAGGTCGGACACCAATTCACTCAGGTCGGACAAATAATAAACTTCAGTTTCACTTAGGTCGGACAGAATGTCCGGTGGTTTCCTTTCTACGTCGGACAATTTGATGGATGGGTCGGACAATGTCCGTGACCGACCGATTTTTTAAGGCCTGAGTGTAAGCACCATTTTTACCAGGTAATTAATCCCGTTAAATCACATCCTAAAATGCGCCTTTTCGTCGATATTTGCGAAAACCTTGTTCTTCAATCAACCTATTTTATTAGCTAGGAAATCGTATAATCAAACACTCACTGAAGAATTTAAAGATTTTTAAAGACTTTCTTCGCGTTTTCACACAATTTAAAGACTTTTCAAAGACCTTAAGGACCTGCATTCAAATTTAAAGACTTTCAAGGATTTCAAAGACCGCTACAAACCCTGTAATATAATACAAAACTTACAAATCAAGACCTTTTTCTTCCAGTTTGTTTTTATAATCAGCTTCCAACACATGTCTTGCAAAGTACAGACTCTTTTTCAACGTAGATAGATCCTATATTTATCATTAAATAAGGTAATAACCGAGGTTATAAGTTACAATAAGGTTACGTGTACTCTAAAACATTAACTTGCCAAACATTATGTAACGATCAAACCACTTTTGGGGGCTTCTCGTGGATTTTTTCTTGGATTTTTTAAAATAAATTGTGTTGGATTTGAATGGATTTTTAAATTCGGATTTTGATGGATTTCCAAATTGTACTGGATTTTTTGGCAACGTGCATGTATGGGATTTTTGCAGTGAAATGCCCCTCAAATAAACACAGGAAACCATAGTTGTTGACACTTGGCAGTCTGAATAAATAAACCGAGGACTTTGGCGTTTGGAGTAAAGGCTCTCATCAGAAGACAGATATTAGTCTGCCAAAAACATATAAAAACGGAATTCCGAAATTTTGTGGGAAAGCTTGTCGTTTAACTACAGAACTTAAAATTTGCCAAACGGGTATATCTGTACAGGACTCGTCAAATATACTGTACCAGATTAGTCATTTGCAAGTCAATCACACTCAGGGTGTCCACCCTTTGGTGAAGGTGAAATTCGAAGACTTTTCCAGGACTTTCAAGGCCCTTTTTCAGTAAATTCAAGGACCTAGAACTGTGAAAAATCTTTGAAAATGGCACGGATTTGCCGTAAATAATTCACTTTATTCAGTAATTTTAATCAACATCACTAATGTTGGCACAGCTGGAGGTTAAGAAAATTAATTCCAGGGCTTTCAAGGACTTTTACTGATTTTCAAGGACTTTCCAGTCCTGGAATATTTTTTTTCCAATTCAAGAACTTTCCAGGATTTTCAAGGCCTGTGGACACCCTGCACACTATACTTGGCTGTGATTTAGCAGTTATTAGTTCTTCTTGGTAGTAACCTGCATAAGGCGTAAAAAAAAATACCTGTGGTTCCGGTTCCCGACCGACCCTATATTTTTCTGCCGACCCTATTATTTTTTCAACGCGATTGACTGTGCGACCCTATTAATTCTCCAGGTGGTTGCGGGCTGCTCATACAGCGTGCCAAAATGGCGTCTGTTGTCAGACTAATTATTGAACCAAATTGCCTAAATTTGTCCATAGGAAATACGCATCTCTAGTTAATATTGATGTTGGGACTCTACTGCAAATCGCCCAGCAAAAAAACGCCAAAACCATGAAAAAAATATTCAAAAAAAAAATTTGTTTCCGACCTACCGACCCTAATTTTTTCACGATATGAAACCGGAACCACAGGTATTTTTTTTATGCCTAAAGCAATGCTCAATTTCTCAAATCTACTGCTTCACTGAATTTTTCAGGTGGAGGAGCAAAAAGAGCAAAAAATTGAAACATTCGAATTTTGTCTGGTAATGAACAGTTTTGTTTCATTGGTAGCACATACTTTGTACTTGTGTTCTCCCCACTTAACATTAATTTTATAATTATTTTAACAGCTTCATTCAGTGCACAGGCCTTGGCCGCTGAGTCAAGCCCGCTACTGTGCTGGTGGCGAACTCATATACTGTAGACTTGCAGTTCTCATCAAGGATTTCTTCCCGCACCAAAAACTAACCCGAGCATGTTTATCATAAGCCTATGTAACTAACATTAAATATTAAATACTTGAAAATACCGGTACTTAATATTGTACTTATTTTTACCTGCACAAGTATTTGCACCATATGTGTTACTTCCTTTAAATTGACAAGATCTGATTTTTCTGTTTGTGATGCACAATCTTGGGAAAAATAACCAGCTCTTGTCTTGTCTGAGATTGATGGACTACATAATACACAAAAACATGATAAAAGAAAGTTATAAGCGCTCTCAGTACAAACAAATTAAGTGTCATAAGTGCCTGACAAATTAAGTGTCAGGCACCCATGAAAAAATATTTTCACCCATGTTTATTATTTCCAATTGGGTGGTGTCTCACTTACAGTGAGTTACTGTTGTGCTAAACATCGCAAATATCGTAATGTAAAAACAATATTTAAATAAGAAGCCATAATGATATTGAAAATGCAAACATATATTTACATGTGGCCGGGCAGCAAGCGCAAAAAAGCTGGCCAGGACAAATTTTGTCATTGTAGGAAGTTCTCACGCAAAATTTTCATGACTGGCTTTTCAAAAAACTAATTTATACTACAATGTGCATTGTATAGCTAGCTATTGCTTACTTTTTAAAAAAATAATCATATATTCACAGTATCTTTCACTTTTCATCAATATAATTATAGCAGTATCACACTGTACCAGACATACTGTCCAATGAGAAATGCATTTTGCCGGACATTTGCCCTTTTTATGTTGGACAGTGTCTGTCTCTGGCTGCTTATTTTCAGACTTGATCTTGTTCTGAATAAATGGTTCAGGTTATACAATCGATCAGATTTCATTTCTACCATGTTACTGAGGCATTTTATAATTACTTAACAATTAAATGTTATATGGTCTTAGTAACAGGGTCTTACCCGCGTTACCGCTGCCAAAGAGGGAAAACATGGCAAGGTAAAATTAATGTGGCTTCATTATTTATGTGAAGTTGTGTACTACTAGGTTCATAAAATAGAGCTAGAGTGTTACTTACAAAATGAAAAGACAGAATTTCCTCCTATATTTATGTCATGTTGAAATTTAGTTTGTTGAAATTGGTAAAAGTGATATCTGTGATGTTTTTTGTTGTTTAGATGGAAGTTATAGGTAATGAGAACCGTATAAAATGGCTTTAAATGCCCCCAACACTTGCTAAAATAACTTACTATGTCAGTGCAACATATAAGTGTATATGTCCAGCTGTTTGCCTTGTATTTGGTTGTAAAGCTTAGAACTACTCTATATATTGAACATAACTGGAACCATATATTTGGCTATTCCGGGTAATTTGCACATACACACCCAAAATTAGACTCCATAATCTAAAATCCTAGCTAAAATCCTGCTAAGTAATACAGCAAAAAATGGTGGGAAAGTGTTGTTTATATTGATAAAATATGTTAAAAATAATCTTCAATGGTCTTTGCCAGTGTACGTAGCGACGATAACAAGAAAGCTGTGGATTGATGGGGATACAACTAACTGAAAAATACAAGCAGAACTTTGACATTTCAAGCAAAGGCCTTTCGTTGGCTACTAATTTCCCAACAAAGGGACAGGGACGTAGCGAAGCATTTGAGGCTGGGGAGGGGTGGGGGAGGATTTTACCTGAAATTTGAACTTCAATGTTCAAAATTTACCTGAAGTGTAATAATTATACTAGTGCTTTTAAGATTGATTTCCACTATCATAATAAGCTTCTGAAGAGAAGGGGAGATCCTCTCCCGGAAAATTTTTACATTTTTGAAGCTACAGGACTGCATTTCTGGTGTTTTCTAAAGTAAATTCGCAAACGAATTGCATCTAAATTGACTGTATTTTACAAAAATGGTTATCATTTCACAATTTTAAATAACGACTTTATTATGCAATTTTTTACCTGAAAATGTCAAAATTTAAACTTGAATTTTACCTGATTTTTACCTGAGTTTCACAGTTGGGGGGATTTACACCCTCCCACACCCCAGTCGCTATGACCCTGCAAAGGGTCTTCGCTCGAAATGTTGAAGTTCAGCTGCTTGTATTTTCAGGTAGTTGTATCCCCATCAATCCGCAGCTTTCTATGTTAAAAATAAACTTTTTGGACTAGCTTAAATCCGTCATATGTCCGGTCATAACAAGGTTTGGTCAGACAAAAGGTAATATTTGGCTGCATACAATGTCCGATGACCTGTACCAATTTGCAAGTCTGCCACATGCATGCTTAAAATTCACATTTAAAGGTGAAAGTGGCTGCAAAAATTAACCAAAGTTCCTTAATTTTTTATACACTTTTTATTCACAATATTACACAAAAAGATCAAAATGCCAAATTGTTTGTTTTATTACTGTTATATTACAACAGGGATGGATTTACTGGGGTGCACCCCCCTAGCCCTGGCCAGAGGGGGTGCAGGGGGGGGGGTGCTATTTTCATGATAAAACAAAAAATTTTTAGAGACAAAATGAGATACAGTAATTTGAGTAATAACATGATGATAAGCAAACTGTGAACAACAATTACAATTCAAATACAGTAGTCAAGCAAGACTTTGCAGTGGTGAAGCAAGTTGATGGGCGGGTGGCCACACATGACCGACACAACTCGGCACCAGACCTGGCAGAGCACACCCCCTACCAGATCATGCTGGATCCATCCCTGTATTACAACCTGGACAATATAAAGGGAAGTGTCAAAGGCTTTGACTTTGTCCTTTGATAGTTAAAGGCACAGTTCAGCCTTTTGAACAATGGTTTTTAAGGCGCATTTGAGCCCTTTTAATTGAAAAAACTAACTAGGAAAATCAATTAAGCATAATTCAAAATCAGTAAACTCGATGTTTTTAACAATATAAATGTTTTAAAATGTTAAAAACATTAAGTTCGGTGATCTTGAATTATGCTTAATTGATTTTCCTAGTTAGTTTTTTCAATTAAAAGGGCTGAAATGCGCCTTAAAAACCATCGTTCAACAGGCTGAACTGTGCCTTTAAGTTACTCAGGTCTGGCAAAGTGGCAGGTATTGTCAGCCACACTAGACTACCAAAAATTGTCTTAATCTATGGTTAAATAACAACCATCTTTAATTTTAATTTAAGTCTTTGACATGAATGCTTAATATTTATAACAATATTATATTATTATAAATGCTCGTTTAATAAAATGACTACAAAATGATCATATCTATACTGATGTACATGTTCATATTTCCTAGAGATACAACTAGAAAGCTTTGCAATTTTGCAATATATTGAAAAATGAGCTCACCTATAATCATCAGAAAGAGGAGAAATCAACATTCGGACTTTGCTGGAGTCATTATCGCGGTCAAAAATACTTTTATCTGTTGCAGAGTCCGCCATCTTTGCTTTCTTCTCGCGCCTTTTGCTTTGTTGCTAAGCAACCACGTCTGAATTAATTGAAAACTTCATGTAGGAAACCTCTGGCATAGATCTGGCTCTGGTAGGATTCATATGGATTCATGACATTCATTACCATCACTCAGCTGTGTTCATTGCTTACTGTTTTTTAAATTAACCCTAGTACAGGTCATAAGCTAGAGTCTCAGGAAAAGGCCAAAAATTTTTACATTGTTGTTCGCAACTCGATAACTCAGTCCACATATCACCACATGTCTGTCTCCCGTCGAAATTTACCAGTTCCCCCAACTGGGCCTCACTTAGCCTGCGAACAGGCTCTCAAGCTGAATTGAGAGCCTGCATCGATGACTAATGAATTTGAATATCTGCGTCTCAAATCGTGACGCGAAATTCTCATTGGTCAGATGCTATAATTTATATGTTTCCGCTGAGCTCTATATATGTCAACTGCTGAAGCACTATGCATTTTACTGATCATTATGCACATTAACTGATCAAATTGGTCTTGACCATCTTATCTCAAAGCACGAAATGTTCTGTTTTGAGAAAACAGTATTTAAAACATTTGAACTTTTGCTTCAATATCTTATATTTGGAAAAACAGTATAAACTGTACAGTCTAAATTTAGTTTGCACGGTCTAAATTTAGTTTGCACGAAAGTTGTCAACAACACCATATAAGGATAGACATTCCATATTTGGAAAAACGAACGTTACGGGGCAGATATTCAAATTCATTAGTCATCGATGCAGCCTCTCAATTCAGCTTGAGAGCCTGTTCGCAGACTAGGCCTCACTCTGTCCACTCCAGTGGCGTAACGTTATATCAGGGGGCCCCCGGTTCAAAATTTTCGAAGCCCCCCCCCCCTAGTAGAAGTGCCAAAGGCATGAGTCGAGCGCCGTATATGCACAAGTTTTCAAGGGGGTCCAGGGCATGCTCATCATTGAATCTAGACTCTCTGAAATACCATTTCCTGGACTTTGGGGAGAGATTTTTCGGAATTCTGATGGTCACAAAACGACATTGTAACATATCAGAGGCCATGGCCAATGTTTTTGCTCTATCGCCTAAGCCTGGGGGCCCCCATTGGGGTTGGGGCCCCCCGGGTTATCCCGGTCTGAGCCCATAGTAGTTACGCCACTGGTCCACTCTGCATGCTGTGCTATGTCTGCCTATGCTTATACATCCCTTTTCGGCCTGAATTATCAAAATAATCATCCCACGTCCAGCAAAAGCTGTCCAGTTTGAGGACTCAATTGTTTAGTCATGTGATTCAGTGATTTCAGATTCATTTTCTTCACAGTTTTCTTCTTGTCTAGTAGAATCAGTGTTGATCGTTTTACTTCGATTTATTTATGATTTATGCTCTGCCTCTGGACGTCCATTGTCATTGAAGAAATTTCTGCCGTCCAGATCGAGGAGGAGGGTGAAAATGGGCTTCTGACAATAGTATAAAGTTGGAGCAGCGGCGTAGCTTTGTCGTAATAAAGGGCCTCCGGCTTAAACTGTGAATAGGCCCCTGGTCCTGCCCATTTAAAGTGGCGACAGGCGACGGGGAAGGGGGCTACGTCAAAAAGATGCAAAATTTGCTGAAATACATCAACTTCGCCACGTACTTCCTAATTATCCTTGTTGACGGTCCCCTAATTGCCAGGCGGCGCCTAAAGGATCGAGTTACGCCATTGGCACTAAGTGGGAGGGTGGTAACTTCCAGTTTCCTCCGCGGAGGTGGTGTGATGTTTTCTGGAATAATCCGTTATTAATTTTTACTTTTCCTCATATTTTTTGACTGAAATACAAGTACCATGAGGACAAATTTAGGGAATAGTTAAGTGCTCAGAATGCGGAAATGGCCTGCATTTTTGCCGATCCTTTGGACCAGGAGCAACTTTATGCAAGGGGAACTATAGGTGGCAAATTTCGAAAGATAATTTCGAAAGATTGCTGGAAATTTGTTATGAAAATTTGTAGCTCGATGACTGCATTTTTGGAGTATTCAGGAGGGTCTGAAACGAAAACAACACGGCATATAATAGTTAAGTCATATTTTCGGTTATATTCACGTACAGCACATTTTTAGAACTGCACAAATGGATTTGTGCAAATGGATTCTGTACAATTCTGTCGTCTAAATAACTAGTATCGGCCCGAGGCCGAGTTTGAATGATAGGAAATGTTTTGAGCAAAAACACGTCATGAACTGGGATTCAACCACCAAAGGTTGACCAATGACGAATATATAACTCAATATGAAACGGAACTCTAAATGCAAAGTGGGAAGTTGCAGAAGTTTAGCTGGGAACCGATGATGGAATTGAAAACTTTGTCAGTCGAAACCTTCCTTCCCCTCTCTTGACGATCCCTCAGCCTCAGCTCCTATAAATTTCCCGACGAAGAGAATTAGTTAGCGCGAAACGTTGGAATTAATCCTCTGCCGCTCTGGCTACTTTCAGGCATATATACCAGATCAGTACGAACCCGGTTTTCAAGGCATTAAATGGACGAAGTTACCTCAGTTACTCAGCTTATCGCAGAAAAAATTGCGCGGCACTATATTATTACGGCCATGTTGAATTTGCAAACTTCAAATCCTATTACGAGGTCCAACTGTTAGCTGTTTGAAGTTAGGACAATTCGTGCATTAAACTTGAAGCATGGATTAGCTACTTCTTAAGACCCATTTACAGTTTTACACTTGCAATTTTTGCTGCGATTTTAGGTGCGATTTTCTTCTTCTGATGGATGTGAACGAGTGGATGCGCTATGAATGTTCAGATGAGGGTACATATACTCAGAACATTAATAACTCGATCGTCTACTCGTTCACATCCATCAGAAGAAGGAAAATCGCACAAGAAATCGGCAGCAAATATTGCAAGGGTAATCGGGCCTTTACGCTTAGCTGTCGAAAACTTGTTGAATTTTGCCGTTTGTGATATAATAACTTTCAAACAATGTAATCAAAACAATGTATATTGTAGCGTTCAGCAATGTAAACTTCAAACGGCAAACTCCAAATCACATTTGAAGCAACGTTCTATTATATTTCAGGGGGGATAATCCGCGCAAATTTCCGAGTGATGCGCGCAATAATGATCCTGCGTAAACGAACACACGCTTCTAAAAATTGCAGATAAAATAACTGTTATTTTTGTGTTTGTAATAGAGAACAATGTTTTTTTTTGTAATAGAGAATGGTGTTTTTGTAACAATTTAGTGATTTTTGTAGGCTCGTTTTTGTATATGACAAAAATAACTTAGAAATATATAAAGTTGTATTAACTGACGTAGTTTAAAGAATAAAATAACAAAACATGATTTATAAGTTCAAATGTTAACAGTCTAAGGATAACAACATATGTACAGTATGTGGTGAAATATCATAAACAGATTCATAAACAGTAGCTAGAGATGAAAACTGGCTCTGTTAATAAGTTAATGAAAGATCTTCTAACTTTGCCAGTTGCCTAAAATATAGTCAAGAATTTTCTTAAACCTAAGTACATTTAACCTTTTTCATGCGATAACTGATAACAGTTTTATTGCTAATGACTCGTTCTCCAACTTTCCACTTCCAAATGGGATGTGCAGATGGTGGTTTCTTCCCCGGGCTACAAATCATGCTGCATGCTGGACTAAGCTGGCCGTCCTGAACAACAAGAGATGGTGGCAACTGGAAGTTGGAAATGAACTTAAAATTAGAATTTACTCGCCAAACTGGTTTCACTGGCATTAATTTAACAAGGTAAGGTTGGTCATCACTGGGTGTGGGGTTAGCACTCAATGGTGAGGACAGTGGTGATAATGAATTGATCAAATCCTTGTCATTCATATGTTTTAAATCCATTTTCATAATAAGATCTTTGGTTATAGTATTTGGGCAACTGTTTTTGTCCATTTTTCTCTTTTTTATTCCTTCACCCTTCTTGCTCTTTCTTCCTCTTTTTGTCATTTCACCCTTCCTTTTGTTTCCAATCACTGTATCTTTACTTGTCTGTTTTACCTTTTTAGCTTTCATATTATTGTATTTCCTTTTCACTTCGTTCATCTTTAACTGTTTTTGGCTCTTTGGTCTTCCTGGTTTACGGCCAGGTTTTGGCGGTGTTGGGGCGTCAAGTTGCAGTGACGAAATTCCGCTGTCGTAGCTGAAAGAATCGCTGTCTGGTGAACTTGTTTCGCGCATTTTACGGTGTCGTTTCGTCGGAATATATTTGTAGCTTTCATTTTGACGTTTAGCCTTTAAATCTACGCCCACGGCTGAAAGTTTTCGCTTTTTCGGTCTCCCAATGCCTTTCGTTTGTATTTTGTTCAATTGTTTGCCTCTAGCTCGCCCTCGACCTGGCTTAATAAACACGTGTGACTGTTTACCAATGGCTTTATTTATTTCATCGACCGCATGTCCCTCGAGTACCTTGCCGTTGTCAAGCTTAATGTTTTTAACAATAACACGCGTTTTGCCTTTGTTCCCATTATTGGCCTGACTTTGTTGACTGTTATTACTGCGAGGCATGGAGTTTGTCTTTGAATGCACAAATGCCTTAGCAGTACGCTGGCTTCTACTACCCGCTGAAATTCGCTTCCCAGCCTGCTTTATTTCGCTTAGTTTAACTGGTTTCCCGACCGGAGATCCTACTTTATACACACTACTAAACATGTCGAGATCTTCCTTAGAAATGAGTGTACAATGAACGCCTAATTTCACAATACCTTTCACGGAAAGGACTTTCTCTATTTCCTTCGCAGTACATGTATACCATTGCATTTTCAGTTGCTTAACTCGATCATTCAACGTCGTTCGAGGCCACTCTGGGTACAAATTCCTTGCCACTTCGCTCATTGTGAACATTAACTTGCCACGAATATAAATATATGCCATATTAACCCCGATGTAGTCCATTCTACCGCATTCATGATCACCTTCGGATTTGCTTTTCGTTTCAACCGTATTTAACTTCACATCTTTGGCTGAGTTGGTTGTAGATTTCGGCTTCATATTGGCAATGAATATTGTTTACAGACTAGACTGTTTCCTTGTATGCTATATTTCCTTGATCAACTCAGGTCGATATCTCGCTATGTACTTATTCAGTTTCACGGCGGTTAAATATATAACGTCGCTGATACATTGAAATTCAAAATATCGCTACTCACTAGTGCCGAGCTCTCTTACTCGCTGTAACCCAATGGCAATAAAAACCTGAATATCTTGCCCTTCGTTAGTCAGCCCCAGTTAAATACCCAGCAGCCTCTCATGTGTTTTGTTTTCATGTGACAAAGATTAGCGAGCAATCGCGAACACGAGGCGATACGAGTGGCCAATTGTTTGCTCACACAATGGCTGAGTAGAATGTCACTGTAGTATATTGTTATACCATTTTAATTTTTTAAAGTAATAATAACAAGCTAGTACTGTCCAAGCATTACCATACCATATGATAAAGATAAGCACGCAAAGTCGCAAAGTATATGCCATATATATAGACCATACTATAATCATATATAGGCATACATTATGGTTTGGCAATCGCAAGGGCCGCAAGGCACAAACGTAATCAAGAATCTCTATTCATGAGTGTACAGTGCTGGCAACTCAGTTTTACTGAAAATGTACAATTGAATTAAATACTAGCTAGCTTAAATTGGCACCACCAAATGGCTGTATTCTTCTAAGAAAGACAGAACCAATATAGTTCAATTCCCGGTTCACTATATATGTTATGTTACACAATATTACTGAATTCTGCACTGCAGGTATAAATAAGGTATAATCGATTGGTGGGCGCTAGTAAGTGTTGTGCACAGCAAATGATTGTAAACAGTTTAGAAATATTAACTATATAGGAGTAACAAAATTAAACTAACATCTCATGATTTTATTTATTTGTTTAATTCCATCAGACAAGCACATGCACTATATAATGAAACGAAGCAGTAACACTACTTTCTCTCATTGGAGATAACTGCAGATTGACCATCATTTGCTGCACGATGATCGTATATGCCTGTCATGCCTAGCTAAGTGCCTACTAAAACCTACTTTATATACACATTAACAAAACGCTAATCTTGGGATTAAAACTAATGGAATATCTAAAGCAATTCATTGATATACATGCATTGCAATATATCAATAATATACCTATTTTCAACATATAAATTATAATATCTTAGGGTTGACAGAGTTCACTGAGTATACTCTACACTGATAATATTATTGACCAAATAATTCGATATCTTATATCAGTCAATTGACCATACACTGACAGTACACTGTTGAAAATGCAACATATATATGTAATCATTTGTAGCACAGATATATAAAGATTTAAATTCGGCAGTTTTAATATTTAATCATATAACAAGAAAAAAATATTGCATAGAAACTTATTAACCAGAAACTTTTTATGCATGTTAATTGTGTTCTTCTATATTATTATACTATATAATATTTCAGCGGACAAGGGCTCCCTTTAACAAAAGCTGTATATAAATATAAATGGTAAGAAAAGGTTGATTCTGTGAGAAAACAAGGTGTGTGTGTGTGTGAGTGCACTGCATCACCATGTTCAAGAATGATATACTTTGTCTTTGGGTCTGGCATATAACATCAATGGCATTATGCGGCATTATATTCCTGTACTATAGTTCTTAGTACACATAAATCCAAGTCGTCAAACCGAACATATTCTTCAAGTGGAATACACTGGCACAGACAGTTCACGTCTTTTTCTCATAGGCTGCCAAGTGTTGAGAGCAGTTGTCATGAATAGCTCTAGAGATTCAGTCACCATACGGGCATACAGCCGGGTTGCGAACTTTGTCTATCATTCGACAACCGCATATACGTGATGAGCGCTCCATATCATCACATGCAGAAGAGCAAATTTAAATGTGTGGTTCAAATGCTGGGCAATAATGATATTGATTATTGTGGTACGTCATCTCACGACATGCATCATCAACTGACTGAATTGGTCATTGCCATTCTCAGCTAAATCATAAATGCCAGACAAATTACAATATGTAAACGTATATAGCTTGAGTACAGCTACGAAAATTCTATCGTTACTATATACGATTCACGATTGTAGTGATGCTGGGTTGCAGGTAAAAACAGGCAAACCGTGCCAAAGTTGGACAACACTTTGTTATTTTCATTAATTTACCTGAAATGAATGGGCAACAATAGGCTAATGTATAAAAAGAACATTTCCAAGCCTTATGGCTATATGTGCGACTTAGTAGCTCTTTCTCGTCGACCTGTCTCGATCCTGGATCGGCTGACTTTTCCACTCAGGGGGCCGGTTGTTCAAAGGTGGGTTAGCGCAAAACCTGGGTTAAAATTGAACCTGCTGTTTTAGTTTGTGTATTTCTGGACATCTGTTTATTTCAAGACTTCAGAGAAATAAACTCCTATCGATCCAGACAAGATCTCTGAAGAAATATTTCCAAATTTATAGACAAGCTGTCAGGAAGTCTGCTTTGAATTTTAGGTTAACCCCGCAGGGTTAAGCTAACCCAGCTTTGAACAACCGGCCCCAGATTGATATATTTATTGGGAAATCATAATGACATGCGCTATTGCTATGCAATTATTGCGGTCCATGCAATATACAGTAAGAATTACTTACAAAGTATAGTTATTGCACACCAAAACAAGTATACTTGGACAATAGTTACAGAAAGTCTAGAAACAACATGCTAAAGCCGTCAGACTTTGAGCTGATCATGAATTGCATGTAATGCACACACTTTTCCTGTTTTCCATGTACGGGGACCCTATAGTCACATTACATATTAGCCTTTGCATTAGCCACATATAAATTTTCAGGAAATACAAGTGGCTGTCATATCCATAAATGTATTCACCCATTTCAACACACTGGCACTGTAGCCTTTGCCAATTGCCGTTTTATATATAAGTTTGTAGTTTTCTCACACTCATATACGGCCTGTGCCGCAGACTCTAAAAAACTAATAAATCAGTTATCTGTCAAAACCAAATGGCTGAGTGTTTTTATTCAACAAGTTAAGTTGACTAGTGATTAAAACTTGAAAATGTTGTGAAAATTCTCGCGGTCTGAATGTTGCCCCGGATAGAGGCAAGAGTTTCGCGCGCTTTTCAAACGAACGTTCTTATATAACATATAAAATTTTAAAATATAATATATTATAACACAATTTTTCCGATGGGGGCATGCCAGTGAAGTGCGCGATGATCATGCTTCCCCAATCACTTGTTTATACTGGTCTAGACGTCCAGGTTAATAATCGTCTGGACTTGGCAGTTGCCCTCCGTGCCAGTCATCTCCTCTTAGTGCATTTTATAACTACCTTTTAATGCAACCGGCCACAGATGGCTACTTTTTGTTACATTCAAGCAAGTTTCGAAAAGTGGCTGGTATTGGCTGGTATTGGCTGGTATTGGTAGCAACTGAGCTTTGGTAGTTACAGTAAAACATCAGTGAAGAACCAAAATAATTAAATTACTTGAAGTATTTAATTGTAACTGACAACAACGACGCCGGGCTCGCTAAGAGAAAAATTAAAAATTGGAGAAAAAAAAAGAAAAGTTTTATGCAGAAGAAACGTATAGAATGAAAGACGTTTGAAATTTCTGAATTTTATTAATAGTGTCAATTTGTGTATCACTATATTGTAAAGAGTTGTTTTTGAAAGAAATGTTGATACTGGATATGAGAATCTTGTGAATATTTCATCGAGAAAAGGTACTGTCATGTACATCTTGTGACATCTATTGACTCACTTGACTGTTGACCTTTATGATGCTCTCTGCTGGTTCTATAGAAATGTATGGAATAAATTGCCATGTCTATCATTTACACCAATAAAACATCCTACTATGGCTGTTGGTAGAAATATGCATAATATGAGCCTGAGTATGGCTGTATGGAATGTATAAACTTTCTTGTGCACCATACACGTGAAACACACATTTTTCTAACTTTCATGTGCACCCCTGGTGGAAAGTTCAAATTTCATCCGCCGAATATTTACGCCGGTTTACAGCATGATAAGTTTTCATACTCCAAATCGAAATGTGTGCGTTGCCACTAAATTACGCCAAGCAACATACAAATGAGACGAATGGAAAAGTCAGATAGTATACTTATTGGCCGCTGTGACATTTTCATGTGACGTCACGGCCACCATGTTGGTGTACAACAATGTAACATCAGTTTTCAACCTAATCAAACTTTAGTAAATTCGTGCAACAGTAGCAACACTGCAACTAATAGTATATGGCAAGTTTTATTATCATTTCCAATCTTCGATGTGTCTTTACGCCAGAAAAGTATGCCAAAAAATTAAACCAATTTTTACGCCAATTTTGGCGTGAAGACAAAGGAGCCACACCAAAGATCTTCGGTGCAACATGCCAACTTTCCACCATGGATGTGCACCATGCAATTGTGCACAAAACGTATCCAGTGGTGTGCGCTAAATTATAGATGTCACAAGACCACATGCTAATGATGTTAAATAATATTATTTCCAAGTTATACATGGAAAGATATAAGAAACTCCCTAATAATGATATCTATATGACAATATAAGAAAAAACATGGTAATGGTTTTTTTATATGACAATATTATACCTCAAATTCAAAGTGTTCAATCAGAAAGCCATGAGAGCATGAAATTTATTATCGAATCACCCCTTATGTCCTTTTATTTGAGCGGGTGATTTCAATCATACCACCCAGGTGATATATGATTTGTGTGCAGCGATCATGCAAACAAGATGGCTGACAAAATATACTAAGGAGTGATGAATTATTAAGTTTTCAAACTTCAAAGAAAGCTATTTTTTAAAATTATAAAGCAAATTTTGTAAAGTGTTTTCATCAATATTCCAAACGACATGTGATTTGAAATAAAAAGTGACAAATACTTGCGTTATTAATAAAAAAATAAAACATCATATTAACAAAGGTATGTGGCAAGTTTTATATTCTCAACTTGGAGGCTTTTAATTTTCAGTATAATATATCATTTATAGACCCTCCACTCAGGGGATTCAGTGAAATATTACCCTCACTGATGATATTTTATCACTTTGGGTATCACCACTTTGGGTAATATTTCACTGAATCCCCCTCGCTCCAGGTCTATAAATGATAAATATCAGCAGAGTTGGCAGGGAGTGCAGGAGGTCTGGGTGTATATTTCCCCAGGAAAAGTTTGGGATTTAGAACCTTGAGTTAAGAGTCTTTTCAAGCAAGTTCTATATTAAGTAAAATTCTAATTCACAAACAAACAATTTAATTTCTCAATTGGACATTGTATGTGCACCAGAGATAACTGAATTGAAAATTGTGCACCAGCTTGTGCACCAAACTAATCTGACTGTTAGTGTCCAAAAAACACCTTGGGTGTGGCAACCTATTTGGTTAACATGGTCAAAAAACATGAAACATGTGCAATAGAGTTAATAGATAACGTAAACAGCAGCTTCAGGTATTCAAGAAATATAACAAAGCTTGTGAGTAATGCTGTTTAAAGAAAACATTTCCTTATAGGCTATCCATGGCCATTTAATTAACTAAAGAGAAGCTGTCTGCATTAATTTAAATTAAAAAGTAGCTGTCCATAGGACAGTTGGATGGCCAGACCATAATGTGTAACTTACAACAAGTTCCAACCTTTGAAGAAGAAATTGGAAGGTTGTGGCATGTCACTGTTAATTTTTTGAAAACTTTGTGAGTTGCCCTATTAAAATGTGTAGCGCTATTATATTTTATTTTCAGTGTTGTTAGAATCAAGGTTGGAATTTTGTAACAAGTTGTTGTTAAACGTGATTGCTTTTTTTCTGTATTGAGTATTGACATTGCATCATTGCATGCTGATAAAAGGCAATGTATATACATACAGTGCATGTGTAATTTATGAAAAACTTTTAATCTTAATTAAAGACCATGTAAAGTCTGTTCTGCGCATACGTTCTGCGCAGGCCTACATTCCAATGGTCAGGACCTGAGCATTGGAATGTTATTAATATTTCGCACCTTCCGAACTTTCTTGAATTGAATCTTTAGTCTGTATTCATTTACAGGCATAGCGAACCAGAAGAGTGTTAAAAATTCAGTATAATATTTTACAACTGTAGCACCAAGTTCAAAATGTAAACAAAGCGTTTGTTTACATTACGGACTTTACATGGCTTTTAAATAGAATTCGTATAATAAATATGAGAGCCCAACATATAACTTTTAACAAAGCCATTAATTAAAACAGTTTTAAAAGATTGTAAATAGATCTAATGAAAATAGATTTAAAATGTAAATAGATTTAAATAGATCTAATGAAAAATCAGGAGGTTTAGATTCAACTCATTCCCAGACAGAGACTCTTGTGGAAGTAAGAGGGAAAAGCCTGGGAATGAGGCAATCTTGTTCCCCGAGCCTGTGAGGCTCGGGAAGGAATGCGAGGCTCTGGGATAGTCCGTTTCAGGGAGGAATCTGATTGGCCAGTGTTGATATGGAATGCGCAGTTCGGTTTCCGGCAACGGACTATCCCAGAGCCTCGCGTTCCTTCCCAAGGATTGCAGGCTCAGGGAATGAGATTGGGGAATGAGGTTGGTTGAGATTCAAATTGAGAGATTGGGAGGAACATATGGAAATTTGGAGACTCAAATCGGGTGTTGGGTACAACATATGGTACAATATCAGTAGGGTTGTATTAAACTCTTAAATCATGTTTAACCCATTGAGCACCAGCACTCTCCGTTTGACAGGCCTTGACAAGTAAAATTGTCTGGCATTAGAGTAAAATAAAAATTAAAAGTAGGGTGCATTGGAGCACAATGCAACTTAATTGGGTCAACTATATATTACAATCTTGAACTGTCTGTGCCAGTGTAGCTTATTACACAAGATATCAATAATTATCCAGATCTCAGCCATTCTATTCACCTCATCCTTTCACAGATAAACATGTGATACTATCTGAATATTATGTTCAGTCTCACTCCATAATTGTTCATCATGTGAAACAACCTTTTGCAGTGTTTTCCTTTGAGTGATAGTTACATGTTATACCAAATAAGCAAGAGCAATTTGCTCAAAAAGGTGCATAGTGGAAAACTATCTAATTCGGGATGGATCATTAGAAAAGTGAAGAGTGGTACAGGGGGTGGGGAAGTTTCTGCAATGCATGGATTTTTTACATGTACGTTTCACTTAGTGTGCATGTTTTTTTTTGTGATATATTTTTTCTGCCACCTTCTGCTGTATGGATATTTATAGAAAGTTTTTGATTGTATGGATTTTCCCCCATCCCCCTTTACTTCTCTAATGGTCCTTCCCTTACTGTCAACTTTAGGTCAACAACGATGTTGTCTTCAAAAATATGTCGATTCAGGAGTTTTATCAACTATAGATGTTTTGTTTTACAGGTAATTGTTTATGTAGAATACCAATTCAACAGGATACAACTGTAGGGTGGTCTGAGGGAGTACAACTACAATGTCAATCTCTTACCCACAGCATATATGCCACAGAACACATCAGTCACTAGGAGTCAAACCATGATAGGTTCATATTTTTCTCTGGACCATCTTTTGAATACACGTTGCATTTTGGGTGTGTCGGGAGCGTAAAATAGAGCTACATTATATACAATCTCACAACCCCAGTTACCCCACAGTGAAATGGTTATTTATTGGTGGTGGTTGGCTCTATTTAGGCATGTTCTAAACTTAATTGACAATGGAAATCATACCGACCTGTTCTTCATTTTTCATCATAGGTTCACAATAAGTTCTTAAATATATATTTGAAAGGCATGTTAAGCAATTAACTACAGACTACAGCTGTGATCTTGTTCTTTTTAGCCACCTGCTTTCCACTGCACTGTTCCAGTTCGAAGGTACGTTCTCAAAAATCAACACGATATTAAAACTCCCACATCAGATTTGTTAAGGTGAGGTTGCATACTTGTGTTGGCATTGCATGCTCCAAACTAGTTCATACTAAGATTGTTACCACAACACAGTCCTGCAGCAATTGTCTTTAGAAGCCTGTTATGAAAAGCCTGTTTGCAAACATATCTTCAATTGACAAGATATGAATAGGCAAAAATGGTATGAAATGTTCCTCAGTATCCGTTAAGAAATGTAATTTGTTAAAATGGCATGGTTGAACTTATACTAAAAATGGGTCCTCTGGCAGGAATCCAAACCATGGCCGGATTTTGAGAGGAGATGTGGGGCGGTCCGCACCTCCCCTGAGATCGTTTTGCACCTCCCTGAAAAGTCATTCACCTCCCCTTGGGAAATTTTCAATGACAGAGCAAAGTGAACATTTGACCTTTTTTTGGTTGCTTAGGGTCTATACTTCGTAAGAACGTTTTTCTGTAAAATTGAAACAGTGATAGCCATTTATCTCTGTGTCAAGTACCCTTTTAATGCAATGTTTTGAAAGAAACTTTGTAGTAATTGTAATGAAGGGCAAAATTGGATGAATTGTACAGTCATAATTCATTTAATACATACGTACACTACATGCATACGTCACGTCGTTGATGTTGGCCTATTCTAAGCCCTAACTTTCCATGGGGTCGTGAGCTAGACTGCTGCACCTCCTCTAAATATTTTCCTGAATTCCACCTCCCCCACTAGTTCCACCAAAATCCGGCCTTGATCCAAACTGCGTTATACATACAGTACATGAACTTGCGATTAGAGCTCTACAACTGGACTCTGTAGCTCAGTTTGTTAGAGCGCTGCACCGAAATCACAGGGCCGCTCGAGGTTCGATCCCTGCCAGAGGGCCTATAGTTGCATTTTTCGCAACTACTCCCGGTTAGGTCTAATGAATGTATAGAACTGATTGTATACTACTATATTACTTTATCTAGTTGTTCAGCCTCTATTACGAGAATTAAGAAGAGCGTATATCCACGTGTGTATAAAGTACGCTTACAAAAGGCTGATGGATCAAGCTATATCATACGTTACCACGAGCCTCGAGAACTCGTACGTCTGCCAGTAGATCCCAACAGTCTCACAGAGGAGGAGAAACAAGCAAGATTGAATCGTTTGAAACCGGAAAAAGAAATTGAAGTTCATGAATTTGACGATGAAGAAACGGAAATCATTCAAAGATCTTGGAAAGATTTTGTTGCATCAAGATAACATGGGACATAATTATACTATATTTGACGAGTTCGGGAGAAGTCCCTTTGCATGCCTTTGAGATTAGCCAGGGTTAACCCTGGTTGATGAGGTCTTCGTGGACTTGATGTGTGAAACTATTAAGCCTATTTGTCACCCGCAGCTAGCATTTCAAAGCGAGGGGCTATTCACTTCAAAATGGGAACAGCCTACCAGGATTTTTTTATCTGAATATGTGTCAATTTTGTCAATTTCAAAAACCAATAAACTACACCCTAGAGTCTCATTCTACATTCCACCAGTTTTTTCCAGGCGTAACGGATTTTTGGAGCGAAATGCCCCTCGATTCCAAATCGTATTATAATATTAGTTTATTACAATAGTACAGATTAAACCTATATGTTAGTAGAAATGTTATAGTAAACTTTCTATTAAAATGCCTATACTTGATTATAAACAACTTACAACAGTTACAGTAGCTTGTAATGCCTAATGGTGTAAATAGCAGACTCTTGTGTGAAAAGAACTTGATGTTTCACATTTACTATAATTATTTTTAAATATAAATAATATTTTGTGTGCAACATACGGAGGAATTAAATTAATAAATGAAACAAATAGTTGAAGCAAAATTTATACATACACTACAATAGTTATTTTTACATCTTCACTGGAAACAATACATAATTCATTTCTACTCTACCGAATAGTCACAAATAAAATAATTTAATATTTTTCAAAATTTTCCAATGCTATTTCGACATACATACATATTTCCAGTTGTTTATTTTGAAGGTACATATGATTAACGAGATGCAAAACAGCAAGTATGATGGCTTTGTATGAGTTGATGGTGCATTATATTCATCTGCAGAACATAATAAACGTTTCTGTGTATAGTATCAATTGAAGATGAGACTATTAATGAATCTCAATTTGCCGCACAGATATATATTGACCTAATCAACTAAGTTATGTTTATACTCGTCACTCAATTCACCCAATTCATATGTTCTCATAATCTGAGCATAAAATGGAAGTAACAAGGTAACTAAGCATATTCAGTGAATAGAATGCAAATTTCCTTAGTTCCAGTCCTCTCTAGGGCAAAAATCAGTGGGGTGAGGGAGGCAACTGTCCCCCAATAATTTCCGAAAAGCTTTGAATGATAGCAGAATGTGCACAACAAAGCTGTGACCATTATTTTTTCGACCATAAAAGCATTGTAGGCTATAGATTAAGCTATATAGTGCACATTCTCGCCCCAGAGCCATTTTTACTCCGTCACTTGTTGAAAATGAAAATTAGGCTCTGGGTTAGACGACTAAAGGGAGAGAACTCATTGGCTTCTCAGAGAACTGCTATCTCCCAGAAGTTGAGCAGTTTTCGCTAGGCGAAATTATTCTATCAAAATATTTCTCTGTGAAAATTGTTATGGGTGCAAAAGCGTCCCAATTCAAGAGTATGCGCTTTAGAAACTACTCCAAATTTTCTTGCACTTCCGGTTCCGTGTGTCCCAGGGCCTATGAAAATCGCGAGAGGCCCTGGGAACGAAGGGGGAATAGTGCATGAAATTAACGCAAACAAGTTTAATTAAAGAACTAAGATTTTCAGCAACAAACAGTGGTCATATAGTGGCAACTGAAACGTCCGCCACTGCAAAAATTATTACTCAACCAACATCTTAAAGATGATGTCCACCCCTGTGCACATGCGCGAACTTTGTTTACGTTTTGGTGCGCTATACTTGTAAATGAATATAAACTGTACGTTTCAATTAAAAAAAGTTCGAAAAATGCAAAATTTGGGCAATGTTTATATCTGGGGGTCCCCCTTTGTTATGAGCAGAACTGATGCGCAGAACGGAGTGGACATCATCTTTAAGAAAAAGCTGCCACAAGGTCAAGTAATCTCATTTTGACCCTAGAGGACTGCATTAGCAAATATTGCATTATCAAAATGTTCTGTTGTGTGCCAATACATGGCTGTATGATTATGCATGGACAAAGAGTAAATTATTTAGTACCTGTTTCTTGCCTGTATAAATAGTTTCTATAGTAATTTCTTTTTTAATATTTCGAACACCATTCTGCGACGGAAGTAAGGCATATGATGCTAGATAAGAGAATAAACAATGTATCAACGTTATACACTAAAATCGTTATTATTCTTTGTTAATTAATATTGTTGGTTGGGAACCGGTCATTATTTACGGCGGGGGGTGGCACCGAAGAGAAAAGGGTCGGGTAATCAAAATTTTGAGTGAGTAAAAGGTTGAGTAAATAAAAAACAAAACAACTCAAGGGTTGGGTAATATAAATTTATTGCCATTTCCAAAGCATGACTCATTCAAATATTGAAGACTAAAAAGCAAAACAGTCATACTGTATGCCAAAACAATATGCAAATCAATCAGAGTCACTATCTTGATCATTTTCAGGAGACAAATGGTGTCTCCAAAGAAAGTACATGTGCAGACAACATGAAACTTTGGACTTTGAAAATTGCACAAGCAGTTATCAAATTCATGTCACAGATGGGTTTTTAGATGGAAATTTAGAACGTAAATTTTATACATTTATTAGCCCTAACCAGGAGCAAATAGAGACCTTACGATTTTTTAGGACGGCCAAAACAAACTCCTTCAAATAAATGGTATAGAAAAGATAATTCGTCGTATATTATCAATCGTATGAATTTTTAGAAGTTGAAGACATGGGTTTTACAGTTTTAGAAGTTGAAGACATGGGTTTTATGTGTGGGAAGAGTTCTGCTGAATCCAGTTTGAAGTTGCACTTGTTGCGGCTTAGAATTCAGCCGCTGTATCAAGACGTGAAAATATGTGATTTGGTGTTGTAAACAGCGAGGACAATGTCTATATTACTCAATCATATATTGTAATTATTCAATGGTTTATTGTATTGGTCCTAAAATCGTAAGGTCTCTATTACATGCAACTATTATAGATCCTCTACCAGGAGTCGAACCTGCGATTAAATTCTGATAATTATAAAAGTTACCTGCGTAAAATTAAATGCCGCTCGTCTTGACGCGTATTCAGCGTACTACAACAGAAAAGAGGTTTTGACAAAACTTTCCCGTACAAGTTACTTTGCACAATTCCAAAGTTTGGTTTTTAAGGGTAAAAATATTTCAGAACCTTCACATTAAAAAATCTGACACACCGATCGAATGTGTAGCAACAATTAGCTATCCATTGCTGACCCTGGATGTTTTATATTGGTTGCTGTTTAACATAGATTTTATTTTTCATGCAAAAATGGTGACCATATTTGAGTAACCACATCAACAACAGTGTCTTATTTGCGTAGCCTTGTACAATATTGGGGTACAGGTACTGGAAAGAGGGGCAACAGGAGCACAAACATGAGAGGGAGACCAACAAGAGATGGCCTCATGTAGGCATCACGAACTTGAGACGGGGTCCCACTCAATCTTGGCCCCTCTTCAATTGGAAGACCTATCATGTTGACGGCACATTACTTGAACTTCCCTTAAGGTCCATACAGACCGGACGCGAATTGGCAACGCGACGCGAATTTTAAAAACTGAAAATTCGCGTCGCGTTGTCGAATCGCGTTCGGTCTGTATGGACTTTTACCCAACTCGGCGGCATAAATAAACCGCTATTTCGAAATTTCCAACTACTAGTAGGAAGACCCGATTGATTTCTTTCATCCCCATTCCTAAATTGAAATTCTGACAAAATATAATCTCCGTTTTCCAGACTTACCTTGCAAGCAAAAACTCCACAGTCGCATCCATTGAATTGTTCAGGTATACTCTAATGCAGGAAATTTCATATATTCAATGTGACCGTTTAGTAAAAAAAACGTTACAATTTTGAGAGTAAAATATAAAAGAGTCCTTATTTCTTACTATACATTGCTTTAAAGTTAATACGTTTTTTTAAAAGAAGGAAAAGTTACCTTGGGGCTGTCGTTCTTCCAGCCAGTTAAGTCGAGATTCGTTTTCTTTTTATCTAGACTTTCAGCGCAAATGTAATCACTGAAATACAACAGAAATTACGTCATATATCTTAATAAAACCAACATGTATATATACATACAAAACAAGGCTTTGATATATGAAATACGCACCGCATAGCCTGAATACATCCGGGGTTTTCTCCTTTCAATGAATCGTAGTAAGTAAATGTCTTTCGTTTGATATCAATGATCTGAAACCATACAAATTTTTTGAGATTTGTTCTTTCCAAGTAATCAAAACTGTTATGCATGCAATATCTAATACTCCCTAACATATACCTTGACCCTTCCTTATTTATAATAGGTTGACAAATAATATGTTTGCGTGTGTAAATGTTTAAATAGTATACTTGTGTGCAGTGCGATGTAATTGCTTAATTTTAGAATTTTTTCAGTTAATAGCGATAATTTGCGATATAGCTACAGCTTTTGCAATCCGTAAAGCAATGGTGATATGACAAAAGCATCATGCATAATTGATTTCGTTTTGTGGAGAACACCACGTTTTGTGTTTTGCAAAGCTTTTGATTCGTAAGGATCTTCTTTAGTCTGGTGTAAATAATAAGCTTTGCAACAAGTGTCTTCCACAATAACAAATACTATGAACAACACAAAAAAATCAAGAACATTTTTGATCGAACATTTTTGATCATATAGCAAACTAGGTGTTTGTTTCTTTGCCTTTATCCTTTAAGTCACATACATATTGTAAATGACGGATCAGTGGATTCTTTTGGCCAGGGCTTCTAATTTTACATACACAGCCTGTTCCCAGTTGACATCGACATGCAGGCTTGAACAAGGTTGTGCTACACCCTCAGGACTTTAGTTGTCGACAATGTTGTCACAGGTTGTTCAGTTGTAACAATGCTGCAATAACACTGTTGACAACTTGTTCTTAGGGTGTAGCACAACCTTGTTCAAGCCTGTCCACTCATTGTCTTGCTATTTATGGGTTAGGACAGTGGTATGGATAGGGTTTGCAACACAAAAACAGCGAGACATGAGCCTGCATCTATATCGTCCCCTGACGTACAAAACGAACGAACCCAAACGAGTTGGAGAAAATTTCTATGAGAGACCAGCGTGGTAAGTTTCTATATGAGAGACCAGCGTGGTATATATCGCCAGAATGTGTTTTCTTTTTTGAAGAACTAAATATGAAATTATATAGTCAGACAAATTTGTATGTTTTACTGTATACTTTCATATAATAACTATTTTGTGATATCCTAAATAATATTTGAATTTCAAATCAAATTCTTACCGCTAAGCACCAATGCATGCCAAGATGAACAGGAATTAGAATTATATCCATTGTGAACAAATCAACTTTCTTCGTCCAACGTCGTACACTGGCATGTCCAGTTTTCATGAGTTTCGGATAGAAGAAAGTGTTAAATGTATGAATTTTAGGTCCAGAGTTCTTGCTGCGTTCAGCTACCAGGTGGAAATAAGCATTAACAACTTCATCATTAAGCCACGTTTGCGGTCGTAATGTTATTATATCTCCTCTGGTTATTCGTCCGATTGGTAACTCTACGAGAAGTTCGTTTGGAGCACCATGGCCAAGTGCTTTGTTGACCTAAAGTGAGAAAAAGATATCACAACGGTAATCAGGGTCCCCAATAGAATCCGGCACCCAGCGATTTTCGCCGTCTATAAGCGCTGACAATCGTCGGTTATTTTGGCTCGAAATAATAAACCAAAATATTTCCTCCTTACGACAGAAATGTCAAGGGAAAGGTTTCTTGCTTTTATCACATACATTTTAAATGATATTCTTCGCTACAAATCTAAAATGACTGGAATGCCATCAAGGGCGGATTTTCATTTTTTTTAAGAGGGGTGGAAAAATGTTAAAAACTTTCACACAAAATAAGAGGGGTGAAGCGAAATTTTGGTGGGGTTGAACACTTTATAAGAGGGGTTAGAGAGATTTTAGGTGGATTTTAAATCCGCCCATGAATGCCATTTCAGATGATCTAAATTTTAAACTCTTCATGGGGAGACGCCCTCGAACCCACCTACTTCTTTCAAACAGTCTCCTACTTCAGATAATATTGGGAACCCTGAGTCAACGTTTATTTCAAGGCCCAAAGCGCAGAATACTCTGTTGTCTGCATGCAAGGTCATTAAGTGCGGTGACTATTTGCCTTTAAATCAACGAAGGGTTAAGCCCAGGTCACACTACACAACGATAACGATACGATAACTTGTATACGCGCGCTGATTGGTCAAAAATTTATCGTTATCGTTCGGCTGAAAAAAGAATCGCTCAGGTGAGCGATTTTAAAATCGTTATCGTTCTCGTCAAACGATAATTTTAACATTTTCGTTGTTGTGTGGACACTAACACAATTTTTTTGACAATTATCGCGTGTTTAAAATTTATCGTATCGTTATCGTTGCGTAGTGTGACCGGGCCTTAATACTTGATCGGTTGGTTAATAATAGTAAGAAGCGAATAATATTATTCTGGGGCTGGTTGTTCAAAGCTTGATTAGCGCTAACCTTGGGTTAAAATTTAACATGCTGTTTTGGTTTATGCATTTCTGCATGTTAACTTTTAAAATAAAATTTCTATTGATCCAGACATGATTTCTGGAAAAAGTTTCGCCAAGTTTACTAAGCAAGCTGTTGGATAGATAGCTCGGAAGTTCTTAATAACCAGCTTTCGAACTGCCCCCTGATCTATATAAGTGATCAAAATAAACTCAGAGTGTCAACTAAATCTTACAATAGAGTATCAAGGTAGACAAATACAGTACAATTTAATGTAGGCATTATACAGCATACAGCTTCAACCTCTTGTCTAAGACAATTATTTTTTATTTCTTGCCCTTCGAATAGAAAATGGAATTTCTCATAAAGAGGAAGCATTTTCATTATATAATTTCATAGTTAATAGAATAGATGGTTTGGGAATTCATTAGAATAACAATATAACTCAGTATCTATGTTAGTCAACGTTTATTCATAAATCTGGTCCTTCACCGTCACGTGTGTATTGTATTTTTGCCATGTCCACCAACGGCAATTTCCAATTTACCCTATTGTTCGAGTCACGGATAGGTAACTTTCCTAAGACATTGCTATTGGTTAGTTGGGCAACAATACAATACGCACGTGACGGTGAACGACCAGATTTATGAATAAACGTTGACTAACATAGATAATTAGTTATATTGTTATTCTAATGAGTTTCCAAACCAAATCTATTAACTATGATAATTTAGACATTATTGACAATGGCTATGAAGCTAAGAAGAATGAAAATATTTCTAAATGGCGAACGTTCCATGGTTCTAGATTTTTTCTCTTTTATATAACTTACGAGTAATGACTCTTAGAAAAAACGTAGTTTTATAATTAGACGTTCTGCATGTATATCATTTTTTTAAAATTGTGTACTTTTAACAATCGCTTCAAATTATAGTGATCGACATTTTTATCTTCCTCACTTTTTATAATTGCTGCAACACGAAGACAAAAAAAAAACAATAGTATATGAGAGACTTACAACATCATTCATTTCATCAGTGAGTTCTTGGAAAGCATCGACCTTAAAGAAATAGGGAAATTTCAAAATGGCTTGTATGATGAATTTTGGTTCAGTAACTTTATACTGGACTGCATCATTCAAACGTACTGTTTACAACAATACGACACCAATGGAGAAGACTATATTCGTTTTAAACAATTCTTGACTACTACTAGATATTAATGAAATATATTCTAATTATATATTCTTGCATTTTATTGTTCTAGAATACTTTCATGTTTTTACTATAAATTGTAAATAACTCGTAATTCAGTTTTCTCAATTAGCGTTTCCTAGGTATATTATGACACTTCTCCAAGAAACACGATATAATAACCTACAATATAAAACTTACCTCTTCTTCGATCACGGGACTTCCTCGTTTCCCCTGCATTCTTTCCTTAACCTAAACACAGGCAGTACAAGCTCTTCTTCAGTTGTGTACAAGGTGTGAATAATAACAAACTCAATCTCTGGGTACGAGATTGTAACAAACTGGCCTAATGAATCACTACAAGAAGATCCGTGGCAAATTAAAGGCTATTTTGTACATTGATATATACCTGCTGTGATACGAGTTCAAAGTCATCTTTCTGCAAAATTATTAAAATATGTTGAACATTTAACCATTGAATATGCACCACGAAGTTTGTACGAACGAAGAACATGCAAGATTAGTGTACCGATTAAACCTCAGACCAGTATGCTATATTTATGAGACTATTACCTCTTTACGTATTGCTTCAAGTTTTAGTTTTTCCTTCGCTATTTTCCGTTGTTGTTCCAGGTGGTCTGTACTCAGCGTCTCTTTCCTTGTCAAAGACAGAGTATGTGAATTATGAGTATTTGTAAGAATGTGTCGTCATACATGTACTTACTTTGGTAACAGAACAGGCAATGCTAAATATTCAAGCCTTACCATTTTTTAATCCAGCTGTCATCTAATAAGTCAAATGACCTAGTAATAATATAATAACGATAAGCTATACTTTATGAAACTTGGATATTTGCTTTCAAATAAGTAACTCAGGGTTAGTAAGTCTTTCAGAAGCACCATGCCAAGAGATATATGTTTACTTATAGAACAATTAAAAAGCAAAGGAAACTGGGGAATTTTCTTTCTTTAAGCATACCTTCGTGATGGGCGGTTATTTGGTTGCAATTCAAGAATCCCTAAAAGTCAATGCAAATATAAACAATAGTGGTCCATTTATATTTTTAGTAACGACGGGCAAGATGTTGGACAATGTTGGATAAAGAGTTTGAATAAAGTCAAACCAAGCTAACAAACAAACCTAAGATCTTCTAACATCAGCCAACATTACTGCATGCATGGTCAAACATCAGCCTAGACCTAGGCCTTCTATTTTTATTATTTTTTTAATATTCAGCGCTTTTTCACATGAAAAGGCTGGGACTAAGTGATTTGGGGACGGGACGGGCGGAGGATGCGCAAGCGAAAAAATAGAAGGCCTAGTAGATTTCCCAACAACAAGGCCAAAACTGCCCTGAAACTGCCCTGGTTGAGAAATGCCCAATTATTGCGTTCTCAAACAGAATTATTTGCAACTTAACAGCGAATTTAAACCGATACAGGTAAAATAAACTCATTTATAGTATAAACTTACTATTTTTATTTGTATACACGCCTAGAAAATCGGGGTTTTTATCATAAAGTTTGAAGCAACACTATTATTATGTTGCGAATTAGGTCAAAATGAGTCAAAATATTACTACAAAATAGAACTTAGTTTAGTCATAAAATGTTTTTATAGTTAATGTAATAACTACTGGACAGTATAAATTGCTTTAGTTGTTGGTTTCTGATCAATTTCGGATCACAAAGTTATGGGGCTAATTTGAGAACTTGTGAAATCTACTAGGCCTTTACGAGGCAAATGACCATTGCGATAATCACCAGCCGAGTAAATGCCTATAGGTCTAGGCTGGGCAAACATGTAAAGTTCAAACAGACCCAACAGTGTTGCATTCAACACAGACCAACATTGTATAAGATGATGTTTGACCAACATGTTGCTATGGCTTGAACAGGTCTTTAGATTGTAGACCATGTTCCAACCTTTCTTGCATACCAAATAAATCGTTCGTTCTTTTCCCACCCGTTCAATAAGAATCATATATAGTACAAGCCGACTCAGTTAAAATCTATTTACGATAAAAGGCATAGAGTTCACTGAAATGCACTCGCCGTGTTCCTAGCCAGTGCGTTTATGAGAGGCATTCAACCCTGAACGACCGCCATTTTGAATATTTTCAGGGGGTGAATACCTCTTATAAGCGCAATAGCTAGGAACATGGCGACATCATTGTGACAGTTACGCCAAAATATAAACTAATTATAAGCAGAACCAAGAAGCCGGCCTTCTGTAAGGTCTCTATACTGTGACTTAGAATTTCAGCGGATATCTTCACCGAAATTACATTTTCGCGAAATATTTTAGTATAGCCTATGCTGAGCAGAGAAATACTTTAATTGCCGTTAAATAGATAGTATCAGTGAACTTGAGAAATGGTCCATAACTCATAATTTCATGCAGATGACCTCCGTGAAGAAGTTAATGACTGTTTTTCCTAAAATCAGTAAACCTCTGCAGACTATGCGTAGTAGAGTCACGTTCACAAACTAGATAAAGCTTCGCTTAAGCTCGTCATGTTATTGCTACGTATGATATTATATACGTACATATATACTGTACATCATTCAGATAATTCACACACCTTTTGTACCACTAGCCGATACGCCTCGCGACGTTTCTGCTCCACCAGAAGACATCTTCAATGGAGACGCCTGAACCTTAACCGCTGCAGGTTGACGGAATTGTTTTTGAGCAGATGGCAATCTTGGATTATGGGACGATAGAACTGAATGTTTCGGTTGCGACTTCCTACACAACGGTTCAAAATATTATAAGATCTCTTCAGTGTTCGTCTTTTCGTAGCAGGGTTTCCACCCTGTATAGTGAAGAAGAAATTCAAGGACTTCCAGGAATTACAAGGGTTTATTCTCATCTATTGTTTTTAGCACTGTCTGCTGTGAAGGAATCATATTAGATTAGCAAATAACTACACTAACATCTGTTTTCAATTTTCACTCAATACATAACTGTTTCTCCTTGAGTTGCGGACCATAAAAAGCATTTTAAAACCACATTGTGCGCATAGCATAGTTTTAACAGAATTTGAAAACAGCAACGTCAGCAATTTTTTTCAAAACCGAAACTACTCATGGAGATATAATTGTATCAACTCAAACATTTTGGTGGACACTCCTATAGTAACAATACAAGGATCACAAGAATCAGCCGGCTTCGTAGCTTTAAAGGGTATTAGCAATAAAATTTAAGTACGTTTAATAGATTGAAAAACTCCTTAAAATGTAGAATAAGACATTTTACAACAAAATTTTTATATCTTTCTTTGGTTAGACGATATTTCAGTTCGTTTGATGTGTTAATCATATGACGTCACAAACTGGGTCAACTTTTTGACAGTCCACAGGATCCATTTCATTTGCATATCAAACAAACTAAAATATCTCAAACAAGAGGTATCGAAAAGTTGTAAAATAACTTATTTTACAGTTTAACCAGTTCTTTCTCTCCAAACAGACTTGAATTTCATTGCTCTTACCCTTTAAGTTTAGAATTTTGTGACGTTGCTTGACGTTGCGTGAAAACAATAAATTTATTGTAATGTGAAACAGCAACTTTCTCAGTGAAATTAAAGTATAATGTAATGTATTGTATTGTATTGTATTGTATTGTATTGTATTGTATTGTATTGTATTGTATTGTATTGTATTGTATTGTAGTGTTGTATTGTATTGTAAGACAGTACCTTTTTGACGAGACAATTGCCTCCTTTTCATCTTCGTCTTCTACAACAATAGGTTTTCTGCAAACATTGCCATAGTTTGGTTGAGCGGAAGACGTATAGTGAGCCAGTAATTTCATGTACTGCTCTCGCTCTTGCAACCGCACCACCTACACAGGGGAATTAGTTTGAAATTGTGTGAAGCTTCACGCTTATTGAGAATTTTAGATTTATGGTGACAGGGTGGTTATATTTACCAGGATTTTGGGCATCTCATTCGATAGATCTAATTGTATGTAATAATTTCAAGGGTAGATTTTATATATTTATTAGATCTAACCAGGGGCAGTTGCGAACAACCATCTAGGCCTTCTGGCAGGAATCCAACCTGTTGCAGCCCTGCGATTCCGGTGCAGTGCTCTAACCAACTAAGCTACAGAGGCCAGTTGTCGAGCTCTAACCGCAAGTCCATGCATGGTGATGCCAATGTAAGTTGTACGCATGGCTAAACATCAGGGGCCGGTTGTACGAAGGCCGGATAGTGATTTTTTCAAGCTTTGTTAAATCAGTCGTTGATTGGTAAATGTTTTTTATACTTCTTGTGTCGTCTATATTTTTAGTTTCACAGTTTTTCGAGCATTTTACAAAGGTTGAAAAAATCACTATCCGGTGGATAGCGCTATCCGACCTTCGTACAACCTGCCCCAGAATTGTATAGGCATCTCACTCGATAGATCTAATTGTCGAAGAGTTTTGGAAAACCCTTCCACAATTGGTTACATTTACATGTGCCTGTCACCTCTGTGATTGGAGCTGGATTCCTGCAATTGCAGTTGTCGGAAGGTAATCGCCTCAGTCCCTTACAAGAAGGTAATCGCCTCAGTCCCTTACAAGAAGGTAATCGCCTCAGTCCCTTACAAGACGAGTACTGTGTTCCAGTTTGACTGTATCAAACACGCGGAAGAAAATCGCACTAGAAATCCCAGAAAAAGTCGCAAGTGTAAATGGGCCTTAAGAAACATTTCTTCGGGGACAGATCATTTCCCTCCCTCTTCCCCACACAAATTTTCCTTATATATTCATGTGAAAGGCAAGAACAACCTCAAGAAATATGAGGTACTTACATTATCTACTGTTGTTGGATGCCGTTTAATCTTGAATGCAGTTATATTTCGGGGTTTTGGTGGCTTTGGTTTCATCTCTCTTGTCTCAGTTTTTCTCACAGTAACCTTGCCACTAGATCCTACAATAAAATACGTCACTAATATTGGTACAATAAGAGAGCAGGGAGACCTCTACCTCGCCTTAAAACAAAATATATCCTGTAAAAATAAAATGGTGAGCTTATATAGTTGTCCTGAACGTATAACAGGGGTGGATCCAGCACGGTTTTTCTAGGGGGTGCTGGGTCAGCAGCCGAGTGTTTCTTTATAATTATTTACGGGGTGGTGGGAGAGCATTCAAATGAATTGGCTTCCTAACAACTTGAGCGCCGAAGGCGCAACCTCCCTATGGGTCCAGGGGTATGCCCCCCGGAAAATGTTGAAAATTAGAACCCTAGAAATGCCATTTCCTGCAATATGGGCATTGAATTATGAGCTTCAATTTGACTTCAAAATAAGAAAAACCTTGGAAATTGTGCCATATTTCTGAATTTGATTTTTTGCACCCCCTTTGCACAACAGGGGTGTGCACCCCCCCCCCCCTATAAATCCACCCCTGACGTATAAACGTTGAAAACTCAAACAAGACACAATTATTTTACACTTATATATTATTATATACATGCAGGGTGTATAAAATAAGTATAACAGAATAAATATTAATAACTTTCATAACAGTAGCCCCCTTAATAAACGATTTTGGTTTTATTTAATTTTAGATCTTGTTCATGCATTTCGTTTTCCAAAAACGGTCACTTGTGTCTCTAGCGCGAGAAATAGCTCCAAAAGAGTAAATTTAGTAGAACGTATCGTTTTAAGATGTAGTTTAATTGACAGAGCTTCTCAATTAACCCTCATCAACTTTCATTGAAATAGTGAAATCCATTCTCGTTTGACCAGCCATGATTAGCGTTAACCATAGCTGCATGGGTTAAAATTTAACCTGCTGTTTTGGTTTGTGTATTTCGCCATGCACGCTCGTTTATTTCAAAACTTCAGAAACGAAACTTCTATTGATCCAGACTGATTTAGGTTAATCTAGGATTAAGCTATAACCGGCTTTCGAACAACCAGCCCAGCGCGCCGCTCATTGAACCCAAGGTTCGGGGTTATGTAAGTTATTTCAGTTCACCCTTCAAACAAAGTTATATACTGTATTCTCACCACAAAACTGGTCTTCTCTACGCCGATATGAAGAAGTATATGTAGGTTGGAGGTCATCTTTTGTGGAAACTGTTGTTGTATTATTACTATATTTTGAAGGATTATATCGTGTTCGTCTGGATGAGGTGGGTTCATAATGTCGATATGGAGAAACGTTTTCTTCAAGTGGTTTTCTTCTCCAATGTGAAGGACCTGGTGATTCTTCATCTTGTACTTGTGTTGAACAAAGTTCATTCTAATAAGGGAACAGCTTTTAGGTCATACTATAGCTTTAGATTTAGTTCCCGTTTGCACAGGACGAAATCAAGCAGAATGGGGACAGTTTTGCGCAATTTTGAATTCCTTCCTGTTTGAATACCCGTTTCTGGTGAACAGTGTAAAATGGACTTACTATGGTGCTGTCGGTGGCAATGGCCTGGTGCCCAGGGCAGGAAAAAATAATTTTCTTCCTGGGAGCACAACCTGGAGGCAGACAAAAGTTTCCTGCAGACCAACTGAGTATTTTTGAGCTAAATCTAAAATCTGCATGCACATAAATATATAGTGTTCTAGCTAACCATTTGTTTTAAATTCAAGGAATAATGTCTGTCAACGATATGTTGTTGCGCCCATAGTGTTAAGGTTTCCTTCAAATTTTCAATGGCAAATCTTCATTCAAACGAATTTCCTGCAGCTGTTTAACATTTCCTGCGAGCAGTGCTCGTGTGCTTTATTTTCTCCAACCCTGCTGGTGCCAATGTTGTAAAAACATGCATATTAATCAAGGACTAGACAACTCAAATCTGCTATTCCTGCAGGAATTACTCCAGTACTGATCAGATTTGTATCAGCTTTTAAAAACAATGAACCTAAATGTGGAACAATTACAATGTGGACTACAGGTGAGATCCCTTCATTAGTTACCTTGTCGTATTGTATATGTTTTTGCATATCTGTATGTTCACAAACTGGTGAACATATCTCGTTTTCCTGATCTTCTACGTCATCCCGCCAAAACTTGTCTCGAAATGACGTAAATATTCGCACAGTTTTCCTTGCTGTGTTTCTCACCCACGTAGCAACTCTTCCAAATGGCGTGTGTGCTTCTATGATAAATATTATGAAATAAATTGTTACTATACAAACGTTTTCCATAACTTCAACTCTTGCAAAATTGGCAAGGGAACCGGTGTCAACTAAACGCAAACAGATTTAATGTGTACACAGGAAAGGGTGCATTTAGATGGTTGGGAATTTAGACCAGAATTTCTGTTTTTGTAATGATGGGGGAAATCTGGGCGAAGTCAGACCAGAATCAACCGCGAAATTGTTGTATTCTGTTGAACTTACTGAGCGGCAGGGCTCACCCTTGACAAGTAAAATCGTCTGGCATCAGAAAGAGTAAAATAATGAAAACGGTGCATTTGGGCGATATGCAACTTAATGGGTTAACTATAGACACATGGGCAGATTGATTAAGTTAACCCATTGAGAGGTAGTAGACTGCCCTTGACGAGTTTACTCTGTCTGGCATCAGACAAACTAATAAAGTAGGGCACATTAGGGCACAATGCGATTTAATGGGTTTATTCAAGGCCGGCGAGAGGGGGGGCAGGGGGGGGGGATACCCGGGGCCCGGAGTGCTCAGAGGGGCCCGGAAATCTCGGTAAAATGTTCGTATTGTTTATTATCGCTTTATGTTTGTCCTAAATGAAATACACCTACTTGCACACTATCCGCTGAGTGTCGTCATCGATCGTAAAACGTACCAAATGTGAAATAAACGATTTTTCGATCGTTTTCTCAGCAAAAACAATTAGCTGAACATCGTGCACATTGCGTTTTTATCAGTTATGCGTCGATTTCTTGCAAGTAATTCGCTGGCAATTCTCTCGTTGATTGCGATTAAAAATAGCCAGCGGGAGAGTCGAGAGGGACAATAGAATAGAATAGAAACTTTATTTCACGAGGGAAAACGTATTAACCATAAAAGTTATCTAACATACGGCCCTCGCACTATTTTGATATTTACAGGCATAAAAAGTATTAAAGATTACGACTATTTACATATGAGAAAAAATAATTAGTAATGAATACAATTACAATTTAGTAAATATTTACAATTTATACAAAATAGATCTTCGATATGGTTAGTAAGGTTAAGCTTGTTAAGAAAGATTTTACGAATTTTTTGTTTGGCGTTAGTATATGAAGAGCAAGATGGCGAAGCAGCAAGTTGCTTACAATCGCTATCTAAGCAATTAAAAAGAATGGAAGCACTGTACAGAAATGTTCGTTTACCAGAGTCAGTACGCGGGAAGAGGGGTTGAAGGTCATATGCGCAAGCTCTAGTCAGAGCCCGTTGTCGAATAGAAGATAAGAATTTAAACATTTGCTTAAATGAAGATGGAGCACTGGGATTTGTGAAAATGTTAATTAGTAAGAGAAGCTTCCTAAATTTAACAAGATCAAAGATTGGGATTATTTGAATCTGGGAAAAAAGAAGAACAGAAGGAGTAGAAAAGTCAGCGTCTAGAATGGTACGTGCTGCACGCTTTTGCAGTCGAAGAATGCGAAGTAAAAGTGTTTTTGAGCAGTTTCCCCAAGTTACACGGCAGTAGATAAGACTTGAATTAATACAGGAGTTATAGAAACGAAGAGCACAGTCCTTAGTTAAAAAGGGTTTAATCCTGCGTAATAAAGCAAGGACAGGGGGCCCGTGTTCACCAATCGTCATTTTGTCCCGGGGCCCGGGGTTGGCCTTGGGTTTATTAATGATTCGATTGATCTAACAAGTCTAACCATGTTCATGGACAGCATCCTGACACCTTGGCCTATTCATTATAACACTTAAATACTAAATGATGATCTGTTCAATCATTAGTTTTCATTAAAACCTGAAAACACAGTGTATTGTTGTATATTTAACAATTATTGAATGAGGTTGAGCACGATATGAAGAATTATCAAGCCCGAAGTTTACTGTTATCAACCGAAGCCAAAGGCTGAGGTTGATAACGGCAAACTGAGGGCTTGATAATTAATAATAACGGCAAACTGAGGGCTTGATAACGGCAAACTGAGGGCTTGATAACGGCAAAGTGAGGGCTTGATAACGGCAAACTGAGGGCTTGATA